GAAGCTACAATTGTAGCTTCGGCTATTAGTGATTAGCTATTCTTCAGATTTGGTATGCCTAACGAACTGCATTCAGATGAAGGCCGTAACTTTGAATCAGCTGTGTTCCATGAATACTGCAAGTTGTTTGGCATCCGAAAGACCAGGACAACGCCACTGCACCCACAGTCTGATGGGATGGTAGAAAAGTACAACTGGACACTGGGACCAGAATTGGCAAAGTTTTGTAATAGCTGCCAAGATGACTGGGATGTCTTACTCCCTCCACTGTTGATAGCGTATAGAACAGCAGAACATGAAGCCACTGAATACACTCCAGCAAAGTTGATGTTTGGTTGGGAACTTCGGTTGCCAATGAATCTGATAACAGAATGCCCACCTTACAAAGAGTTGCCTGAAAATGTGTCAGAGTTCGTGAAAGTGTTATCTGAAAGGATGGATGATATTCGTTCAAACTTGAAAACGTCTGCTGATTCCATGAAGCTATGTTATGATAAGAGATCTACTGAAGTCAGCTTTGTACCAGGAGACAATGTGTGGTTGTATAATCCCAGGAAGACCAAAGGAAAGTCTCCTAAGTTGTCTTCTCCATGGGAAGGCCCATATGACATAGTGGATTGTCTCTCAGATGTGACTTTTCGAATAAAATGTGATAAGCGAGATAAGCCAAAGGTGGCGCATACCAACAGGCTTTGGCGTTATCATGGTCCAGGACATTTCAGTTGGAATGAAGTGAACAATGGAACAAATGACGCTGCTGAAGACGCGTCACCTGAAAAAGCTACTGTCGAAGAAGAAACTGTACCTGGTTTTGAGAAGGAAAATAGTGAAGCCGTTAATGAAGTTACTACCACTGATGTGACTGTTACCGATAATGGGACATTTCCTGATGGAGCAGATGAACCACACGTGAAGCAGAAGCCAATGAGACAGAGATCACATCGGAAAAAGATACGCCCTGTAAAATTAAGAGACTTTGTTGTATTTTAATTTTGTGTTTGTAAATTCTGCACATTTAATCAAGTTATTGTTAATTATCTATTGGTTTAATGTATGTGGCTATTGTTCGGGACGAACAATACTAAGGAAGGGGCAGTGTTACGACAGCGGAAGTCACGCGACGCTGGGAGCATGCGCACCGGAGCTTCTAGAAGGACCTCAACTTATCGAGGAACCTCGCGAATGTCCGAGTGTTTGCCAGGCGCCCTCTTTCTTATTATATAAGCCCGGTAAATAAAGCCAGAGATATATAGATATGCAGATAGATAGAAGAGATATAGATAGATTGAAGAGATAGCCAATTGAGTCAAGCGAACAGTAGGCACTGTAAGTAAAGTGTGTGAATCACTGCGATTTATAGCGTGTGTTATAAAGATTGTTAAGTTTAAAGTGACTGTGGAAATTCTGTGTATTACAAAAAGTTGTATCGAGAGAGAATAAACTAGTTTTAATCAAGAAGAGACTTGTATCGCTGAAGTTTCTCGGAAAGAATTTTTACCGGAAATCATCAAACAAGCAGATACGTAACAATATATATGTGTGAGTGTGTGTGTGTGTACATTTACAAAAATAAATAGTTAACAACTTGATAAAATATCCAACAACTAAAGTATTTAAATTTTTCCCTTGATATTCAATAGTCAACGAATTTTTTATGATATTTTCTTCACACTGATTTGAAATGTTTTCTTGAAATCGTTCTACAGTTTTTCAAAAGGTTAGAACTTTGTTATGTCACGTGACTTTTATTCTAATACTTAGTGCGCGGTATTATGGAAAAGTAATTGTTGAAGAGGAGAATACACTTTATACGTAAAAATGTTGGTATGGGACAAAACAGGAAAAATGTTATCAAGCTGGATATTTTTGGATTTTATCGTAGTTTTCTTGATGTTGATATCAATAAATCACTATGTAATTTTTCAATCATTAATCGCCATCTTTCTTATTAAAATTAATTTCCTAAAACTACATCGATAGTTCAAGTTCGTAAAGAAAAATACGGCTAAATTAGTTTAACGCAGTTCCTAAAGGTAGAAAAAGTTTTCTTAAACTACATAAAGATAGCTTTCGTGTTAATTTTCTAAAAGCAATAAAAAGAAAATCATGTCACTCCTAATTCTTTAAAATAGTACGAAACAGTAAACAATATATTGTTGCAAAATGTTTTTTCAGATTGCTAAGATTAATGTGAAATGGTTACTAAAACATTATATAATTCCAGTAGGAAAAATTATTAGTTTCTTTAAAAAAACAACGAAAATTTGATTAAAGCGAACTGTTATAAGATATTAGAATTACATTAACTGGACGTAATCAGTTAAATCAACTAAAACATTTTCTGAGCATTGTGTCCACAATTATTGAAGGCTTAGAAAGTTCTAAAATTTTTGACGTCAGATTTTCTAGTGAATTCGTGGAGCAGTTTATAAACAAGGGGTTGTTCAGAGAAGCATCAAAAATAGCTTAAAACATTTTTTTAGAATGAATCAGTCAGAGAGCTAGCATTTCGTTTTCAGTTACTTGACTAATCAGCCAAGAAGTTGTATAAGTAAGTTTATTTTTACATTAGTAGGGTGCAGTTAGAATACAGTAATTACGTTGGAGCATCATTGTAAACTTACTTACAAGAGCTATATGGACGGAGCTGTAGATGTCTTAAAACTGATATGTGCTAGTAGTTGCATAACTTGCTTATGTAAAATCAAGACACTTTTCCCATTGGATTTCATGACTTAAGTCAAACAAGTAAAATATCTGACAAGATTGATACAGGAGATGCAGTCCAATATATTAGTTAGCCAGATTACATCCACTCCAAAAACAAAATGGATTTATAAGGTTCTGCGTGGACTACCAGAAGGTGAATGAAGTTACAAAAAATGATGTCTACACACTGCCAAGGACGTACTGTATCTTGAAAAGCGCAAGTCGACAAAGCAAGTACACAGAAGACAACTTTTATCATAGGAAATGGATTGTGGTACTTTGTTGTGTTACTGTTTGGACTATGTAGTGCTCCTACTACATTTCAACAAGTAGTTGAAGTGCACTGTGTCTGAACTACCTTGAAATATTGTACTCATCTACTTGAATGAAAGAATAACACATGGGAAGAGCTGAAGAATGTTCTGTTTCAGTTGTGGAAAAAGAACCTTAGGCTGAATCCCAAGAACTGTGAATGTTTCTATCAACATTTGAGTTTCTGGGACATATAATCAGTAGAGAAAGAGTCTAAAGATCTGTGGAAGATTGACTCTTTGTCTAGAATTAGGCAAAACAAAAGAATCTGCATGAGGTAAGAAGATTTATTGGACTGTGCTTTTATTTTCGCCATTTTGAAAATCTGTCTCTGATGTAGTTTGTTCTCTACACATAGTACTTGAAAAGGCAATTGGATATCCAAGACTGTTTAGTGTAAAAGTTTTTATTTAATCCAGATTGATCATTATGGTTGGAAGCAGAATATTTACTTACATGTAAAAATTTGCTTTAGTTTCAGATTGGTGTTGAAGAGTGCCCGAGCGTTCTTCACAAAAGGATTGTTCGGATCTTTATGTGAATCCACCCGCGTTCCAAAAGCACAAGTTGCTATGGTGTCCATAGTGAAAGCCCCAAAAAACCTGTTAAAAATAAAAACTTAATACTTTGCTTTGCTTATTCTACATAAGATATGAATGATAACATTTATAACACTTAACCAAACAAACGTTACGATTAAATTATCTGTCAGGCTCTAAGTCCAGAGAGTTTAAGAATCAAAATCAAGAGGATGTTTTCTGACTAATATATGTGAGTTGAAATCACAAAGGGTTATATAATAATGTCCGTAGATTGAAGAGGCGTCGCTAGACACTGGCACACGATGCCCGTGCCCCGAATCCACGTGGTGCTCTTGAAATATCAGAACAGGAAATCATGATCGATGTCATACTGAAACGCCGAATATTCCCGCGAGTTCTGGGCTCGACCCCCGAATCTAGCGACGTCTTTGGTAGGTTGTTAGGCCACAAAAGAGCGTCAACGTTTTCTAATCTGGTCATACGTTATGGAGTGTACAACATAACCCACGTTTGTGTGTGTGTGTGTTTTGTCCTTAAGTTATGGATTATACAAACAACTCCACACTTTGTTTCTTTCCCTAAATTATAGGTCCTAAAATCACGACAATTTATTTTTGAGTAAGGGAAACAAAATAGGTCTTATCTTTTAACCAGTCTCTAAATCTTAAAAAAAAAGAAGATCAATTACACTGTCGCACTATCTGTCCTTTTTTATAGACATTTTACACCACAAAAAGAAAAAAAATGTCCTGCTGAATTTATAGTTTTTTGAGTTCATATTTCCTCATGAGAGTTTTTTTCAAAATTTTATGACCCTTAGCGTAGTTGTAGGAAAAAGAGGTGAAGTCACATTTTCTGGTGAATTTTCACTCATGTGAGGGGAGACAATATAATGATGGTACTGATAAGAAACTGGAAACGGTTAATCTTTATGTTATAACGTTAAAGACAACCCTCAGTCGTTAACACAATTAGTCAACTTTACAATAGGATGTCAAGGGACAAAAATTAGATCGATAATTACAGTTGCCCCCCCCCCCAGTGGCACAGCGGTATTTCTCCGGATTTACAACGATAGAAACCGGGTTTCGATACCCGTGGTGGGCAGAGCACAGATAGCCCATTGTGTAGCTTTGTACTTAACTTCAAACAAACAAATAATTACAGTTATTTAAATTATTTCCGCATGCCTGTTACTTTGTACATTTCCGATTTGAAGTCAGAGGTATGTTCAAATGTAATTTCACATCAATTTTTTATTTGTCACAAGTCACAGACCATGAGGCTTTGTGTTATTAGGAAAACTTGTCAGCTTCATTGGGCTGGACAATGACAAACATATGTTTATCTACAGCGCCATCTACATTTGCGTTCTACATGATATTTAAAACAAATATTAAGCTTTCAAATTCGATGACGAGGAACCCACTTTGAGACTAATAATGGCTGGAGACGGCTTAAAT